GGGTTTAATATTTTTCCTAGAACTTTTTTTTTTTTTTTTTTTTTTTTTCAAAAAAAAAAAAAAAAAAAAAAAAAAAAAAAAAAAAAAAAAAAAAAAAAAAAAAAAAAGAAAGAAAGAAAAAAAAAAAAAGAAAAAAAGAAAAAAAAAGGTTCCAGACTGTTAGAACGAATCCCCTAGCACTGATTGCCCAGCCCAGACGGCCAGCCTGGGCCGCCCCCGTAATAAATACCGAAGACATGACACCAGCTGCCTACTTCACTTGACTGAAACGACCTGGAAGGAAATAATGCGGTTGAGAAAGGCATAAGAAAAGGACATAGGGGAAAGATAAAGTGAGAGAGAGGCAGAGACACACAGACGGAGGAGGGGGCTGTCAGAAGGAAGAGCCCAAACGATGACAAAAACCTTACCCTCGCCCTTTCCTGTCTGCAGGATCCCAGCGGCGCCCATTAAATTTAAGCCAGACAAATGTTAAAGGTACCTATGAGAAAGAATACAGATAAATACACACACTGCACCAACTGTGCTCAACCTGAACAGCAGCTCACCCTGCTCCCGACACCGGCCGTGGCCTCCAGGGACTCTCATTTCTGACAAAACTCGGAAAAATGGGTGTGCTGACCCCCTGGTGCTGCCACAGCCGACCCCAACCTTTATGGTCTGAAAGCCCAAGGTTTTCTCTGCCTGTAACACCAACTGATGGCCGGGCACTTTTTTTTTGCCTGCTTGAAGCTGCTGTGACCCCAGTGAGCATCCGTCCCTGGGGAGGATGAGGATGGGTGAGCCCAGGCACGTGGCAGTGACGTGGTCCCTCGGACTCGGACACCGAAACGACGACACAGCTGGGACAGCTTTTCTACATCCCTTTCCCCTGCCCCCATATGCCCTTTTTTCTACCCCATGTCACCTTTTCTCCCTCCTACATCCCCTTTTTCTTCCCCCTACATCCCTTTTTTCTTTATCTATATCCCCTTTTCCTTTCCTATATCCCCTTTGTCTTTCCCTATATCCCTGTTTTTTTCCCTATATCCCTGTTTTTTTCCCTATATCCCTATTTTTTGCCCTATGCCCCTTTTCCCCCCCCATATCCCTTTTTTAACACCGTTAATGACAAAGACAAGCTATTTTCCCAGCAGCCTGGAACCAGATTCAGGCTCTGAATTATTGTGAATTATTGAACAGCCTCGGGCTGTCGGGAGCAGCACCGGGTCCTGTGGGATCGAGCCCCAAAAGTGTGGGGCCATGGACTTAGAGCTGTCACCTACGTTCAGGGCAGGGGTCTCTCTCCCCACCAGCCCCACACAACTCTTTGGGTTAGATCACCCACACCTCGGCCACGTGTAAACAGTATCTACAGGCCCCATTTCACCTGCACCCCACTATCGTCCACTTCGGGCCAGTACCACGTTACAGACACGGATAAGAAACAGATATGTCTTTTTTAAGGAAAAAAAAAAAAAAAAAAAAAAGAAGACATCAATATATAGTAACAAATAATGGAAAAACATGAGACCTCATATAACAGGTGAGGGTTTGTAGCTTAATTCTCAGATTCGGACACTTCCTATTTATCATTCTTTTTTGAAAAAGGGATGTTAAGATAATAACATGAAATTAATTATGAGGACAGTTCTTATTGCACACATATTTCAGGCAGATTTCAAACGCACGAAGATGCGGGAAAACGTAGAGATTTCATCTTATTTTACTGTTTGTGCGCGTGCCCCACGCTTTTTCTGTCTTCATATCTGCCCCAAAATAATGGGCTTTCCACGTGGTTTTCTGCTTTTAAAATTACAGTGATTCGGACCACGCCAGGGGTGTCCCAAAGGTTACAGAGAAGCCTTTGTGAGGCAAAACCAGCCTCCTCAGGACGGGACCAAGCCGACAGCAACGCCGGGAGGTTTGTGTCCTGGTGCCAAATTTCACAGCAGAAATATGGAGAATATATAGAGAAATTGAGCGTTTTACCCCGTAAATATAAGACAGGGGTACAGGCTTCACTGAATCCTCACTTTTAGAGCTTCCTCCCCTCGGGATAACCCCAGCAGGGCACGCACACAACGCCGGGACATGGTTGGCTTTCAGGGGGGCTCCCAGCCTTATTCCCTGGGGACGCTCCAACAGAAGACACAGCAGGCACCGATGTCAGACAAAAGGGGATTCCAGATTGACTGAAAAGCAGAAGCTTTCGTTATTACCCAGGAAAAGACTTTGTCTTCACAAATACACCCAGCAAGCTTTGGGAATCAGAGCAGGAGGGTTATTTGACAATGCTATCAAACCTGAAAAATAACATTCAAGAGCGTTGTTAGGAAGCAAAGGCTTATTCTCCGTTAGTCACGGCGCCATCCTAACTTCACTCAAACCCCATCTACATCACATTAGAAAATTTGTTTAAGAAAAAAAAAAAGTGATTTAAGAGATAGAGGACATGATGCATAGCTGAGATTTTGCCGAGTAATATCTTGGCATCTTAAATTCACCTTTCAGATGCTTTGCAGAGAAAAATGTGCAACTCTCCTGTCTACCACAGCAAGTGAAAAGAGAAATTTCTGCAAAATTTCTGGCTCCTTGTACACACACACTCACCCACCCCCTGCAGACGTGTCCCTCACCTTCACCCCACCAGCAGACACCTGGGAAGCAGAGGAAGCTTTTAACCCATTTGCCAATTAACCTGCTCTTCGCTCCTTCCCAACTCACAACACGAAGCACAAGGACTGCAAGTGCTATTTTTATGCTCAGCTGCTGGTGGAAGTTTTAATCCAGTGCCCCAAAGAATTTCGTTTGCTGAAACACCCTCCTCAAGGCGGTTCAGAAAAGTAGATGGTATCTCCCATGAGCTCCCATGTTAGCACTTGTACTTCATCTTAAGGCACTGAGAGAGATGCAGGGTTATTTTCAGAAAAGAAGAGTTACTTCTTCAAGATGTGTGTTATAAAGAAAGGTGTTAAGGGGATCAGAGAGGATTTAAAAAAAAAATAAATTTAAAAATTCAGTCTTCCACAGGAAACGTAGACATCTTAAGTCACTTCTACCCCTGAATTCCAAGCATAGTTCCTCCACCTACTCAGAAATATTTCCAGAGTGATAATGTCACTGAACAGCAACTTGGCATAACTGAATCATATTCAAAATGTTCCAAATGAGAAACTTGGAAAAAATTTAAATTGTTCTTTTTTTTAACCTTGCTCCTGGGGCACTCGCTAAGGACACTGATTCACAACTGGATGTAATGAAACGTTTCAGAAGAATCCAAACACTTGGGATTCCAAAAGTTCCTTTTTTTTGCAATTCTTTAGACTTCACGTCCTATTGAATTTCACAATTTTCTGCCACTTTTTTTGCATAAATTCCATTTATTTTAAAAGCCCTTACTGTGCTTCAGAGCCAAATTTATTGCTGAGGCTTCTCTTTATTGTCTGTGTTCTTTAAATTTGAGAATTTGTTTTCCCTACCAAGATGTTCTGCAGGGGAATTCCAGGGCAATGACGTGCTCAACTGTCCAGACCGAACATTCCCCCTGTTTACGCTACGATCTCTTGGCTCTTCAATCCCATCCTGCTCTTTCTCTCCCAGGCATTAGATATTTTTAACAGGAGGAGGATGATGGTGAACTTCATTCTGCACAACAAGCAAACCACAGAACCACAGAGCTCGGTGGGGTGGGGAGATGCCTCCCTCATCATCCCCCCATCACTGATGACACAAGCAAGTGATTACAGAAAGCGGTGTCACCAAGGAACACCACATCTACACAAGCTCTCCCACTGCTAACACCTTCCAGCAGCTCCACACGTAGGCAGGACTCCTAGAAGCAAAAGAGCCAAGGGCTGGAAAACCCTCCTTCATCTCCACAGGCTCAACAGGACCCACAGGGCAGAAATTCCAGGGTTGCACAGGAAACACCAGCAACACTCAACGGGCCCAAGGGCTCCATCCTGGGTTTGGAAACGTACAGATATCTGGGACTGAATCCGAATCAAGTGTATGATCCAGTCAGGACACTTCTCAGGAGAAAACATTACCCCAGCATTCCTCCAACTAACATTTTTTTTTTTCCAACCAGAAATAAGGAGGAGAGGATACATACAGCCACAATGAGGAAATCCAGCCAGCACCAGGCGTTGGTGAAGAACTTGACGAATCCATAAGCACACCATTTCAGCAACATCTCCAGGATGAAAATGTAAGTGAAGACTTTGTCCGCGTACTCCAGGATGGTCCGGATGGTTTTCCTCTGTTCTATGTAAATATCCTCGAAGGCCTGGGAAATAACCAGGGGCTCATGTCATTATATCAGATTTATTACGCAGCCCAATATCGTTATCCAGAAGCTCACTCAAACCACGATAAGCAATGGAATTGCATTTCTTACACAGTGCCCAGCATCTGCTCTGGCAGTTGCAACACTGCAACCCCAAACCACAAAAATACCCCAAAAAGGAAAAGTCCTGAATAAGTAACACAAGAACTTCTCTGCCTTTCAGGGCTCCGAGTACCGAAATCCAGCCAGCACCAGGCGTTGGTGAAGAACTTGACGAATCCATAAGCACACCATTTCAGCAACATCTCCAGGATGAAAATGTAAGTGAAGACTTTGTCCGCGTACTCCAGGATGGTCCGGATGGTTTTCCTCTGTTCTATGTAAATATCCTCGAAGGCCTGGGAAATAACCAGGGGCTCATGTCATTATATCAGATTTATTACGCAGCCCAATATCGTTATCCAGAAGCTCACTCAAACCACGATAAGCAATGGAATTGCATTTCTTACACAGTGCCCAGCATCTGCTCTGGCAGTTGCAACACTGCAACCCCAAACCACAAAAATACCCCAAAAAGGAAAAGTCCTGAATAAGTAACACAAGAACTTCGCTGCCTTAGGGCTCCGAGTACAAGCCTTTGTATCTAAATGTTCAGCCACTGGTACCACAACAGTCACACACGGGTGCATCCCAAATTGCTGAGCGCGTTGTTAATCAGCCCGTTAATTGCTGTGAAAGCTGGGATGTGCAGAACGCCAGGCTGCTGCCCTGGGATCCCAACTGCTGTGGAATTGAGTCCTAAAACTCACGGGGAGCACCTGCTTGAAGCTGTTTGTTGTGTAATGCCATCTACTACACACTGCACTGTGTGAAAACAAACACACCCAGGGATTGTTTGTATCTGTGTGCCACCAGGAGGTCAAAAAGCTCTGCAAACATGGGAAACTGAAGAAATATAAACCTTCTTGTTCGGTAATGACAAAAATGAGACACAGATACAGGCTGACTTTGTCTAAAATCCTCACATTTCTAGTCAAGCTGTGATCAGAACCCAGATTTGCGGGATTTCAGTCTTCATTCTTCATTGAAACTGAACAAAAATCATTAATAAAGGCTTTTGTACAGTACCTACTACAACGGAGCCGTGTTGCTTTCCAGGTAAGAATCATCACAGCTTGCTATCTCACCAAATCTCCTACACAAGGCTTTGCCAATTAGATGTCCCCTCGTTAACACCTCTGGGATACATGTATTTCCATATTTTACTCACCAGAGCACCGCTGCTCAGTAGGATCATAAAGATGATGAAAGTCTCAAACCAATTGTGCTCCACGATCAGAAAACAAGTCTTCCTCAAGGTCCACCAAGACTTCCCCAGCCCTTCCTCAATATTGACCTGGCAGCATTTACAGCGCTGCGTGCAGCCTGCAACGGGGACAGCACACACAGGAGCATGAGCCCACACCTTGGGAACAGGTGACTTAATGAAAGAACACAAAATTGTCATTGTCTAGAGGCAGTTTTGACGCCAACAACAGCAAACACACTGAGTTTCAGCCTCTTGTGCTCTTGAGGATTACTTTCACCACTTCTGTATCTGAGCACCTGAATTAACATCAATTTGTGAACAGATTGTTCTATTTGGTCAGGGATCCATGCACTTGACAGAAGAGGAATGGAAAACTTGCTGATAAAATAACCTTGAACCATTTAAAATATCTTTGCCATGGGAATACCCATAATGGATCAGCTGCTGAAAGACATTGAGGCCAGTGACAGAAGGGAAAAAAAGAAACCCGACCAGAAGCCAGATTCTTCTGCTTCTACTTACTCAAGGCATCTGTTGTACGAAAGATCAACCTGCCCTACTCACAGGTCATCTACATCCCTGCAATGGCAACTGCATCTCCAAGGCCTTGACTTTGAAAATTCTTCTGAACTCCTTCGTCTGCGATGCAGGGTCCAAAGAGAGTCTCAAAATAAGCTGACAGCCAGCCCTGACCCAGACTGAGACCAAACCTTAAGGTAAGTTTAGAGTAGACAGGTCCCCGAAACAGCTCAGAGCCTTCCCATCTGGCTGGGATCTACCTGGCTGGGGAGTAGCTCTGTGGAAAGGGGCAACGGGGACCCTGGTGGGCAATAAGCTCAGTATGGGTGACCAGTGTGCTGCTGTGGCAGAGAAACCCCACGGGATGCTGGGCTGCACCACCAAGGGCATCACCAGCAGAGATAAAGAAGTCATTATCCCACTCTATGCAGCTGGAACACCTGGAATACGGTGTTCAGTTTTGGTCCCTGCTATACAAAAAAGCTGTGGCCAGGCTGGAGAGAGTCCAGAGAAGGGCCACCAAGATGATCCAAGGACTGGGAAGCTGCTGTATGAGGAAAGGCTGAGAGAACTGGGTTTGTTCAGCCTTGAGGAAGGAAGCCTTAGGGGAGACCTTATCACCATGTTCCAGTGCTTAAAGCGTGGCTACAAAGAAGATGGAGACTCCCTTTTTACAAGGAATCACATGGAAAAGATGAGGGGTGATGGGTACAAGTTACTCCTGGGGAGATTCCGATTGGACACAAGCAGAAAATTTTTCACAGTGAGAACAATCAGCCACTGGAATAGTCTCCCCAGAGAAGTGGTGGACTCCCCAACGTTGGACACTGTTAAGGTTCGGTTGAGCGGGGTGCTGGGCCATCTTGTCTAGACCATGTTTTTGCCAAGAAAGGTTGGACCAAATGATCCTTGAGGTCCCTTCCAACATGGGATTCTATGGTTCTTCCTACACTCAGAGTCAGCCTACCTTCTGTGAAGCACGCGTCAGGGTCCAGATACTCCTCTGGTGCCTCCACAGGGACTTCTTCCACTTCAGGCTTTATATCGATGGTGCTACCTTCAGAGGAGCTGGTCTCATCAAGTTTCTTGAACACAAAATAAAACCCAATCCAATCTCTAAGTAGTTCCCCAAAAATATCCACCTTCATGACAACTCAGCAATTTGTTCACCAGATTTACTGTAACAAAAGTTGTTTCCTCACTTCACCTCACTAAGATCCTGACCCAGGTTACGTGGCATGTTAACAGGACAGACAGTATTAAGTACTTATATATATTTATAAGTATTTGTGGTTCTCCGCAGAGTAACTAGCACAAGAAACTTCTGGCTTGAGTGCAAAGACTACGTCATAACATGAACAGAAATTTTGTGCTGGGACTATCTACTTCTCCCTCCCAAGATGCTTCCAGGCACTTCCACAAGGGTCAAATGACTAGAGTGAATTTTTAACATTTCATCCTACCTCTTTGCTGCCGTCGGGATCTGTATCACTGCTGAAATCTTCTGTGTTGAGATTTTCAAAATCCGATTCACCTACGGCAATAGGCACCCGGACAGTGAGATTGGGGTTATTGATGAAGGACATGTGATCTTCATCTATGATGTACTTCTCCACGCTGCTCCCAATTCCGCTTGTGGTGCCATTGCCATTCTTCTGATAATCAATGTCTCTGTTGATATCAGCCCCTGTATGGTTGGCGATGCAGTTCACCTTCTTGTCATACAATTCATCCAAGGGTTTAACCTCATCTGCCTCTCTCTGCTTGAAATGAGCCTGCATGAACTCACGCACTTTTGCCTTGGTCCAGGCAATGCCCTTCTTGATGCGAATGACAGAAATCTGCAGGTTGTTCATCTCCCCATCATCATCTGTTGCTGCCAAGTTGTCTGCACTGAAGGAGCTCAGTAGCAAGGCTAAGAACAGGTTCAGCACCTGAAGGAGAAGAGGGGACGCTTGGCAGAGCTGACACACAAGGGTGACCTTCCCAAAGCTGAAGATGAGTATTTAATCACCCACGTCCTGCTGATGTTAACAGGGAGCTCGCTCTCCAAACACCACACCGAGAACCAGCTCTGGTGTCCCACAGACCTACCGAGGCACCCACTGATCCTGCAGCGTGTCCCATGAAGGGGGCAGCCCTGTGTGGTGATGGGACTTGGGCAGGTCCCCACCACAGAGCCCCACGCAGGAGCCAGACCGCGGCTGCCGGGGAGGGATTTAGGCAGCAGCCATAGAAGGGATTTAAATTCAGCATTACTGGTTTAGTCCCACCTCTGGCTCAAAGGAAATGGGCCAAATCCAGGCATTTTGAGTGAAAGCTCCCAGCTTGATTTCCTTGCCCACATCTAGTGAGAGCCCCCAAGACTTATTTTGTCAAAATCCCTTGGTGAGACAAGTCCTCTCAGAGAGAGCTCACAACGCTACTTTGAAGACATGCAACTGTTCACACTACTTCATTCTTGCTTACATTTTCCTCCATAGACTTTTCTTCATAAAATTTAAGACCAGAAGGAAACATCATGATCTAGTCTAACCTCCCACACAACAGGCCGTGCAGTTTCACCAGCCGATTCTTGCACACCACCGTACCTCATGATCGAGCTAGTGGGCAGATTTTAGAAGAAACTTCCAACCTGATTTTAACACCTCAGGACCTTCCCCTGCATACCAAATTATCTCCTTTCCTGGCATTTGAAAAGCCAGGTTTTCCTTCTTTTAAGCTTCCTTTACCCCCTCAGGCAAGGTGTGGGTCTGGCCCTTTTGACTGAGGGTTTTGTACCTCCAGCTTTTATTGCAAAGTGCCTAGATGCTTTACTCGTGGGCAACTGTTTAAGGCCCTCATCAAGCAAAGCACACCCTTTGGTGCTACCAAAGTCAACAGGACTGTTCATCTGTCAAAGGCCATGAAGGACCCCACCAGAGCTGGAAGAGACTCACAAAACATTACTCCCTAGTCCTGCGGTCTCCCCACGTTCTACCCCACCCAGAGGCAACCAATAAAGACCATCAGTAACCATTTACTGACCACTAAATTTCCGATGACCATGACCATCATGAAGACAATCAAGCACATGGCCTGTCCTGCTACTTCCATACAATCCCACATGGTCTCAATCCATTCCCCACACAACACACGGAAGACAATAAGGAAGGAGTGGAAGAAATCGTGCATGTGCCAGCGGGGTAGCTCACACTCCGGATTGATCTTGCAGACACACTCCTTGTAGCTTTTGCCGAAGAGCTGCATGCCCACCACAGCAAAGATGAACACGATGATGGCTAGCACCAAGGTCAAGTTCCCCAAAGCACCCACTGAGTTACCGATGATTTTTATCAGCATGTTCAGAGTGGGCCAGGACTTGGCCAGTTTGAAGACTCTCAGCTGCAAAAAACAAAAACCGAAAGAATAAAACAGACAAATAAAAATTTAGTTTCATCTTAAAAAAAGAGGAAAATTAGGCAGAACTTTCTAAACGGCGACCACCCTGTATTTAACATAAACATGAGGCCGTGCTCCTGCTGAGGGCAGTGGGAGGAGGGAATGCTGAGCTTCTCTTTGAATGTGGCCTCCTGTGTTTCATACTTAGTTATCCCCCGTGTGGGGATCTATCTCCTTTTACAAAGGAAAAGCATGAAGCCTCCGTCTTGCTTTGCAAACCTCGCAACACTAAGGAAGTCAGGAGACTTATTTGAAGGGTGTATCACAAAAAATAACTTTTTTCTTTCCTGAACACTTCACAACTTTCCCTGGAAAAAAAGGGCTTGTTCTCCTGGCATATCCAGAACACACTATCGAAGTTTAATTTCCAGGGAATCTCCTCTGGAGACAGACTTTCTGAACCTGGATGTAAGTGGCAGCTTCTGAGTACTCTGCTCCTTGGAAAATCCAACCCCAGTTGTGGTTCTCTGCGTTCAAAAATCTAACCTTGAGGTTTTCCTCATGTAATTTGCAAAAGCTTAACCAGTGACAGCACAAGTCAAAGCAGGTGAATGTTCAGCACTTTTATTAGACTCTAACATACGACCTACCAAATTTGATGGCATGAAATAAGAGGTGCATCCTAGCACGGTCCCTCTCCATCCACATTCACCTCCCAAGTCACCCCTTACCCCCTAAATGCAACGAGCTGTAGCTCAAAGCTTGTAAACAGCAGTTGTGAAGTAAAAAGAGACCTCAAAAATGACACTACTCCATCTCTGTCCTCCCGAAAACCAGAAAAAAGTGGTGTTTGCCTTTTCTTATGTAAAAATCTTTCCATTAGCTCTAAGAAAGTAACGTCCAAAAAGAAGTGGAATATGGAATACCAATCGGAAAGATCGCAGCACAGAAAGTCCTTCCACATCTGCCAGACCCAGCTCCATTAAACTGAGGGAGACAATAAATCCATCAAAGATGTTCCAGCCTTCTTGGAAATAATAGTAGGGATCCATGGCGATGAGCTTCAGGAACATTTCTGCTGTGAAAATTCCAGTGAAAACCTGGAGTGGTGAGGGAAAAGACAGACAAAGAAAGAACAGGCAAAGATTCGCTTTCGTTCATTTTTGGATCTTCAGGCTAGATCTCCAGGCTCTAGAGCCTGGAACAGCAGTTCTTTCAGTCTAAGTCCACATCAACAAGTAACACTGAGTGGCACAAGCTTGCCCTCGCTGCAGTCTGTGGCCACTTGGATGTTGGCTGAGGGTGCCTTCTGGTCAGAATTTATTACTAATTAGAAATCCATCTGTTAATTCTGGGGCTGCCTGAGTAGGTCGATGATACTTGTGCTGCACGAGGGGAGAAAAGAGCATTGTGGGCAAACACGTGGCACTGCCCAGGCTGCACGTTGGAACGGGCACGAGAGGCTGCATCGTTTGATAATTAGCCTGAAGATCAGAAAATGAACAAAAGTGAATCTTTGCCTGTTCTTTCTTTGTCTGTCTTTTCCCTCACCACTCCAGGTTTTCACTGGAATTTTCACAGCAGAAATGTTCCTGAAGCTCATCGCCATGGATCCCTACTATTATTTCCAAGAAGGCTGGAACATCTTTGATGGATTTATTGTCTCCCTCAGTTTAATGGAGCTGGGTCTGGCAGATGTGGAAGGACTTTCTGTGCTGCGATCTTTCCGATTGGTATTCCATATTCCACTTCTTTTTGGACGTTACTTTCTTAGAGCTAATGGAAAGATTTTTACATAAGAAAAGGCAAACACCACTTTTTTCTGGTTTTCGGGAGGACAGAGATGGAGTAGTGTCATTTTTGAGGTCTCTTTTTACTTCACAACTGCTGTTTACAAGCTTTGAGCTACAGCTCGTTGCATTTAGGGGGTAAGGGGTGACTTGGGAGGTGAATGTGGATGGAGAGGGACCGTGCTAGGATGCACCTCTTATTTCATGCCATCAAATTTGGTAGGTCGTATGTTAGAGTCTAATAAAAGTGCTGAACATTCACCTGCTTTGACTTGTGCTGTCACTGGTTAAGCTTTTGCAAATTACATGAGGAAAACCTCAAGGTTAGATTTTTGAACGCAGAGAACCACAACTGGGGTTGGATTTTCCAAGGAGCAGAGTACTCAGAAGCTGCCACTTACATCCAGGTTCAGAAAGTCTGTCTCCAGAGGAGATTCCCTGGAAATTAAACTTCGATAGTGTGTT